TTCTGGGACCTCCAGCTCCTGGGGCTTCGTGGGAGCTCCTGGAACCTTCCAAAACCTCCTGTTGCGTCCTGCCGTTTCCTGCCGTTTCCTCTGGCCTCCTGTGGCCTCCTGGTGCCTCCTGGAGCCTCGTGGGGCCTCCTGGAGCCTCCTGGGGCCTCCTGGAGCCTCCCGTGACCTCCTGGGGCCTCCTGTGGCCTCCTGTGGTCTTCTGCGGGCTCCTCCTAGGGCCTCCTGTGACCTCCTGGGTCCTCCTGGAGCCTGCTGGAATCTCCTGTGGCATCCTGAGCAAAGTCCGTGCCCACGAGTCTGGCCAGCAACACAAGCAAACCGTTCGGGACATCCTCGCAATCTGGGCCCCCTGGGGTGCGAAAGCCAGCGCCTCGCACGAGACATCCTCGAAATCTGTTCCGAAAACGGAAGAGATTGAGCTGGTCAACAAGCAAACCGCTCGAGACATCCCCGCCATTCTGGCGCGAACGGAAGCCGTGCATCAGTTCCCCCTTGGGAGTGCTGAAATCCGCGCCTCCCTCGAGACATCCTCAGAATGTGCTCTGAGCGCAGGCGAGCCTGGCCCCCAAAACAAGCAAACCGCTCGAGACATCCTTGCCATCTGGACCCCCTGGGGTGCGAAAGCCAGCGCCTCGCGCCAGATATCCTCCAAATCTGATCCGAAAACGATGGAGATTGAGCTGGTCAACAGGCAAGCCGCTCGAGACATCCCCGCCATCGTGGCGCGAACGGGAGCCGTGCAATACCCCCTGGCGGCTCCCCCTTGGGGGTGCTGAAATCCGCGTCTCGCTCGAGACATCCCGGCATCCTCAGAATCTGCTCGGAGCGCAGGCGAGCCTGGCCCCCCAAAACAAGCAAACCGCTCGAGGCATCCTCGCCATCTGGGCCCCCTGGGGCGCGAAAGCCAGCGCCTTGCGCGAGGCATCATTTTTCATCAGTATTCACTGCGTGGAGCTCCTCATATGCGCATCTATTAGCATGGACCTGTCCGCCGAGAGCGTCCAGGCGCAAGAGCTTTCGAATACGAGAGGGCTTGAATATGGACGGTCTGGGAGCGAATCAGACTGTGAATGAGTTGGAGCGTGACTGAGTCTCAGTAGTATTAGTGGGTCTCTGCGCATGAGCCTGGGGCCTCCTGGGGCCTGTTGAAAGCTCCTGGGGCTTCGTGGTGCCTCCTGGAGCCTCTTGGGGCCTCCTGGGGCCTCTGGGGCTTCCTGTGGCCTCCTGTGGCCTCCTGGAGGAGCCTCGTGTGGCCTCCTGGGGCCTCCGGGAGACTCCTGCAGCCCCATGGGGCCTCCTGGGGCCCGCTGGAAGCTCCTGCGGCTTCCTAGGGCCTCCTGGAGCCTCTCGGGGCCTCCAGGTGCCTCGTGGGGCTCCGTGTGGCCTCCTCCTGAGGCCTCCCGGGGCCTCGCGTGGCCTTCTGGGGCCTCCAGGAGCCGCCCGGGGCCTCCTGGGGAGGACTCGCTGGGGACATGCGTATAGCACTTAGGAGTGGATGCGCGGGAGAAGGACAGTGCATAGAACCATGCGTAAAACACAAAGGATTCGTCTCCAAGGGAGGTCCAATCTATACGAACATAGATACTTCCGCGGCCGGGGGAGCGACTCGGGACACCCTGGAAGGAGCGAGGAGGCGAGCGGGAGGCGAAACCGCTCGGTTCAACCTCTGACGCCCGCCCCTGTCGCCCAGCCTGCTCGTCTTCCTCCTCCTACTCCTCCTCTGCTCCGTCTTCAACCTAGAACGTCTCCGCAATATTCCGCATTAGGCCTTGCGAGCGAGCAGTGGGCCAGCAGTTCGCCTTGCGAGCGAGCATGGCCTTCTCGACCTGTGGGCCTTTCGTCTCTTGCGGGTCCAGCCGAGCAGTAGGCCTCTCCTCTGGAGGGCCTCTCCGCAAGGGCCTCTCCAGCCGAGCAGCCGAGCAGTAGGCCTCTCCTCAGCCGTGAGCGCCTCGCTCGGGACATCCTCAGAATCTGCTCTGAGCGCACACGAGTCTGGCCCCAAAATCAAGCAAACCGCTCGAGATATTCTCGCCATCTCTCTCTCGAGACATCCCCCAAATCTGCTCCGAAAGCGGAGGATGTTGAGCTGGCAAACAGGCAAACCATTCGAGACATCCCCGCAATCTGGGCGCGAACGGAGGCCGTGCAATACGCATGGCGGCCCCCCCTTAGGAGTGCTGGAAACAGTCAACTGCTCGAGACATCCTCGAAAGCTGCTCTGAGCGCAGACGAGTCTGGCCACCAACACTGGCCCCCTCTGGCCATCATCACCAGCATCACCATCACCATCAACATCATTATCACCAGCATCATCAGCATCAGCATCACCAGCATCATAACAACCATGATCACCATCAGCATCAGCATCAGCATCATCATCATCATCATCATCATCAACATCATCAGCGTCAGCATCATCAACATCATCATCACCCTCATCGTGCTCATCACCATTGTTCTGAATCATCATCATCATCATCATCATCATCAGAACTCGCCATCTCTGCCGTCATTTCATCAGCATTATTCAGTGTATGCATCCTACTCGTCGTCATAATATTATTTGCGTCATCAGGGGAAGAGGAGAAGGGAGGGGTGACAATACTAACAATGACCCCATCATGTGGAAATGGGGAACACGCGCCCCATCTTTTCTATATGGGGAACACGAACCCCATCTTAGGATATGTGTACTAAGCAATGCCATAACGCAGCATGTTATGCCATAACATAACGTAACATGATGAAGAAGCGGGAGGAAGTGGAGGTGAGAAGTCGGCGCAACTGGTAATTATTCACTGCGTGGATCTCCACATGCGCATCGATTAGCATTGGCCTGTCCGCCGAGAGTGTCTAGGCGCAAGAGTTTTCGAATATAAACGGGCTTGGGCAATGACGGTCTGGGAGTGAATCTAACTGTGGATGTGTTGGAGCGTGAATGAGTCTCAGTAGTTCGAGCGCGTCTCTGCGCATGAGCCTGGGGCCTCCTGGGGCCTCCTGGGGCCTCCTGGGGCCTCCTGGGGTTTCCAGGGGACCCCTGGAGCCCCTGATGGCCTCCTGGTGCCTCTTGGGGTTTCCCGTGGCCTCCTGAAGCCTCGTGGGGCCTCGTCTGGCCTCCTGGGGTCTCCTGGAGCTTCCTGGTGAGGATTCGTGTCCCAGGAGATGCCCAATCTATAGGAACACGCGTCCATAAAACACTGCGGAGTGGAGCTGCAAGAGACGGGCAATCGATAGGAGCACACGTAAAACACCAAGGACTCGTGCTCATATGTGAGGCCCAAAATATAAGGTCATACGTAAACACTGAGGATTGGGTACACACGGGAAGGACAGCCCATAGAAACACACGTGACACACCAAGGATTCGTGCTCCAAGTGAGGCCAAAAATATAGGAGCATACGTAAACACATGGTATTGGAACCACTCCTGTGGCCTTCTGATGTCTCCTACTCCTGGGGCATCTTGGGGCCTCCTGGGTCCTCATGGAGCCCCCTGGGGCCTCCTGTGGCCCTGACACATCCTGGTAGCGTTTGTGGCCTCCTGGAGCCTGCTGGAGCCTCTTGTGCCATCCTGAAGAGGATCCGTGCCTGCAGGTCTGGCCAGCAGAATAGGCAAAACGTTCGAGATGTCCTCAACGTCTGCTCCCCCCTTCTCCCCTTGGGGGCGAACATGGGCGCCTCGCTCGAGACGTCCTCCACATCTGCTCCGAACGTGGATGGCGTTGGGAACCAAAACAGGCACCCCGCTCAAAGCATCCCCGCCAATTTGGCGCGAACGGAGGAGTGCAATACCCCCTGGCGGCTCCCCCTCGAAGGCGAACATGAGCGCTTCGCTCGAGACATCCTCCTATGTGGGCCGGAAGCTCGAACCATATCCGCCATGTTGGCGCGAACGGAGGGGTGCAATACCCCCGTGGCGGCTCCCCTTAAGGGGTGCTGCAACCAACGCCTTGCTCGAGACAACCTCCTCCTCCGCCCTCCTCCTCCGTCCTCCTCCTCCTCCGTCCTCCTCCTCCTCCTCCTCCTCCTCCTCCTCATCCCCTTCATCAGCATCGTCATCATCATCAAGATCAGCATCAGCATCAGCATCATCAGCATCATCATCATCGTCATCGTCATCGTCATCGTCATCGTCATCGTCATCGTCATCGTCATCGTCATCATCATCATCATCATCATCATCATCATCATTGGCAGCATCATCAATAACAGCATCTGCATATGCATCATCAGCGTCATCCTAAGCATCAGCAGCAACAAAAGCATCGTCATCATCAGCATCATAACAACCAACATATTTATCATGTCATGCCATGGCATACCATAACGTAACAACGCATGGCATGGTATACCATGGCATTGCATATCATACCATCGCATTACATATACCATCAACACATTGTATGCAATGCCATACGAGCCATAAAATGGCATGCAACACCATGCCATACCATACCATACACAATAACACACCATGACATACCATACCATGTCCTGACATACCATACCAGAGCATACTATGAAAAGGAGGAGGAAGGAGGGGTGAGTGAAGGAGTTGGCGCGGTCGGAGTGATAGCACGAACCCCATCCTTTGAATATTGGGGAAACAAGAACCCCATCCTTTGGATATGGAGAACAAGACCCCATCCTTTGGATATGGGAACAGATCCTCACATAACTTAACAGCATGCCAGAACCTTGCATATCACTACGTATCATAACATAGCATACCATCACATCACATGTCATATCATACCAAACCACAACCCATCAACACATGTCATACACTAACAACACATACCAACCTACCATACCATACCATACCATATGGTACCATAACTTAACATGCCATACCATACCATAACATAATAAGGAAAAGGACGGATGTGTGAGTAGTCGGCGCGGTCGGAGTAATAACAAAACAAGACACCCATCGTTTGGATATGGGGAACAATATCGTAGACATTATCGTGCAGACATGATACGATTGCCTGTAGGTCCCGCTGATGGCGATCTCACTCCGGACCTGGCTCATGCGGAAGTCGAACATGGTAGGGGTCCATTCCTCCTCCTTGGCGAGCACCGAGAAGAACTCCTCCGCTTCCGCGTAGAGGCGTTTCCCGACGGCCATCCGCACGGAGACGACCGTGGCGCAGTAAGTGAACAAGAACGCCCACATGTCAAGGACGCCCTTGCTCATCTCGAACCTGTCGCTCAGGGTCTCCAGCAGAACCCCCCCGACCTTGGGGAAGGTCTCGGACGGGATCATGGCCCCTTGGAGCGCCTGCGCGAGTTTCGAGAAGGCGTCGGACAGCATGGACTCGCGCACGCCAGCGCCAAAGGACTCTGCTTTGCCGATAACCTGTAGCGTCCGCTGCAGGTGCAGAGTCAACTGGTCCATGTCCGCGTGTGGGAAGTCGTCGCCCAGCTCTGGGTACTTGGTCAGCAGCCTCCGGTAGAAGTCATCACCAAAGCCTCGCATGGACTGGAGCGCCGCGGCCTGGCGCTGCACCACCACGGCGTCGGGGGACTGCAGCGTGTCGACGAACTTCTGGAAGACGTCATGGGCCTTCTGCATGACGTGGATGTGGAAGAAGCGGCTGATGGCGCCGTCCTCGCCCATCTCCAAATCCACCCCGTCATGGTCCTTGTAGAGGTATGGGTTGTGGGTCCTAATGGCGAACATGAAAGCCTCCTTCAACAAGGCCCAGTGCTTCGGCCGGATGCCCAGCAGCGTGTAGTGGGACATGATGCCGCAGGGGTCGTCGCCGAAGTCCCGCGTCACGCATGCTGGGAAGCCGGCTGTGTAGCTCTCCCTGCCGTGGACCTCCGTCCTCCGGTCCAGCGCGCGGGCACACTTGTCGATCATCTGGAACATGTCGTGCGCCACCTCATCGAACTTGAGCCGCAGCACCTCGTAGATCTGCGGGTCCAGGTGGATCCAGCGGTAGACCATGGCCTCCATGGTGGCATCCTTGAAGGCAAGGGTGCGATTCCACGCGCCCTTCACCACGACGATGTCCTCTGCGCTCAGCGGCATCCGTGCGCCTCGAAGCCGGCGGACCTCATCCATGTCGCACACCGTGCGCCTCGAGGCCAGCAGCTGGGGCGCCTCCGGGAGCTCTGAGAGGAGTATCTTCTGGCCGCTGACCGAAAGCTGCCCGATGGCGGCCTCAGCGGCCGCCACGGCCGCCTGAAGGGGGCACGGTTGGGGGGCTTGGACGGCGGGCTTGAACGGCGTACGTGCCCGAGGCGATGGATCAGAGTTCGCCTGGAAGGGGCACGTGCCCGAGGCGTTGGTCACTGGGCACACCTGGGCCCCCTTGCTCAAGTCATCTGGGCTCTCGGACGAGCTGCAGACAGCAGCCGGTCCATGCGCCGAGTGGCAGGCACCCATGGCTGGTAGATGGTACCCAGAGGGCGACGCGAGAGAAGAGTGTTGGAAAGTGGATGAGTTGCGAAACGCGGAGACAATGTTCTGAGCCTGAGGCAGCGACGGCCGCCGAGCGCAGCAAGGCACGACTGCCCCCGCCAGCGCGGAAGACTTGCGCGCTGAGCACTGCGATCGGAGCGGGCGACGGCAAAGGGTGGTCGGCGAGCCAAATGCATGCAGCTGGTCTTTATGGTCCACCACTGGAGCATAATATTTGTGTGATGAGCACTGAAATCGGAACGGACGAAAAGAAGGGGGTCGGCGAGCCATCAGCATGCAGCTGTTTGTTCTGGCGCCAGAAAGCGCCGCAGGCTGTCATGTATCGAAGACTGCGCCCAGCGGCGGGGACTCCTGATTGCCCTGATGCTCAGAGTCTTGACCATCAATCTATACCTCTGCTTGTGCATTGTGGATTGCGCAATATTATAAGTGGTCACTCTACGTGGTGCAGCATCCGAGAAGGTGCCCTTGAAGCACAAGTTGGAGTGTCCTCAGGTCCCTTGTTGGATCCCCTGGAGCCTCAGTCCTCGCTCCTGTTGGAGGCCTGGAAATTGGCACCAACACCAACACGGGGGAGGGCCTGCACAGGGGGAAGATGGTCTTCGACTCCGGTGTTGGTGGTAACATTTCGGCCACCTTGGAAGCCAGAATAGTACCACCATCGCCGAGATCGGGACCTTCTTCCCTCGGTGGAGGCACAGCGCCGATCTTGGTGTTGGTGTCAACCTCCAGGCCTGCGATCCTGGGGATTCTTCGGGAGCGGCCACGAGGGGGGTGTCCAAGAGGAGGGGGTGCAAATCATGACCGGCGGCAGGTGCGCGGCCCAGCGGGGGGGCCACTTACGTAATGAAGTAAGAAGGGGCGCCATGAAATCTGGGGAAATATCATGGCCCCCGCCATGATATCCACCCCCCCCCCTAGTCATCACCCCCCTCTTTCCCGCCCCCGAATTCTCTCAGGGGCCCCGACCCAGATTCAAACATCTCCCGGGGCGCGTCTCGTGGCCCCCGGGGGGCGCGTCGCGGCTGCCCGCCTGACTCTTACAGGCCCCAAGAGGGCCTCGATCGGCGGTGGACCAACTTCCCTTTCTGACGGGGCCCTGGGACGCTCAAATCAATACTCACAAATCTCAGGATTTCCCCGTATTTTCAAATATTTTCTGGGTCTGCGTCTGATCCCCCACTTCCCACACGTTCCCATATCTTCTCGGGAATCGAAGATGAATTGTGTCTGTGTGTTTCTTTCCCTCCTGATTCAAGCACCTCAGCGTGCGCAAAGTCGGCGGTGGACAAACCTCCCTTTAGTAAACCACCCTTTAAAGAAAACGGCCTGGGACCGAAACCGACGGACCTGGACCCGCAACCATGACGGCCGGGACGCCCTCTCGCGAACCGGAAACAGCCACTTCGCGAATCGATGCGTCAGAGTAAGAGGTTGATCGACCTCCGACTCAATAGGGGCCACGAGGGCCCTGAGAGGCCCCCAAGAAAGTCCAAGAGGTCCCCAATCCGTAGGCACATGCAGGACGACACGCAGGACTCGAACCCCAGGAAGGGAGCAATATATAGGCACACGCGTAAACACACATAGGACTCGAGCCGCAGGAGAGGGCCAGTCTGTAAACACACACGACAGACACATGGAAACCAAGCCACAAGAGAAGAGGGCGCGAGGTCTCGGGAGGCCCAGAGGGGGCGGGCGCCCGGAGGCCAAAACATCTGCAAATCGGCACCAGATACAAGTAAACATTCGACGCTCCGTCCCTGGGTCCGGGGAAGCTTGGGGAGGCATGACACATCGGATACGAGCCAGAGGAGAGGGGCAATCCATAACCGCATACGCAAAACACACAAGTTTCGATCAAAAGGAGAGGGCACTTCAAAGGCACATGCGTTAACGCACATACGATTCGAGCCACAGAAGAAGGTCAATCCATAGGCACATACGCGTACGAACAACATACAGGAATCGAGCCCCTGGAAAAGGGGCAATTTGAAGGCACACGCGCAAACACACATAGGACTCGACCCCCAGGAGAGAGCCACTATTTGGGCACTCGTGTAAAACAAACAATCGATTCGAGGGCGAGAAGCACTTGGCGAGGGACCGTGGCCATGGGAGCTTCACGACGGTGGTCTTGGGGGCGCGGTCGCAGCGTAATTGTCGATGGGTCGTGGCAATGGAAGCAGGAATCCTTCAACATTTAGCTGGATCGTGGCCCTGTGAGCGCGAGCCTGGCGTGTTCTACGAAGGATCGTTGTCCTGAGAGCGCGAACCCAACGCAATTGACTATGGAACGTGGCCCGGAGGCCGCGGACATTATGTAATTCACAAGGGACCGTTGCCCTCGGAGCAGGAACCCAGCATAATGCTACGAAGGAACATTGCCCTGGGCGCGTCAACCCCATACAATTTACGATGGATCGTGGCCCTGAGAGCGCGAACCCCAAGTATTTCCCAGCCATCCTGTGGCGTTGGGTCCTCGTTTTGAAAAGATCCCCGCGACTTCACCTCCTCCTCATCCTCTTCCTCCTCCCCGACCTCCAACTCCTCCTCCTCCTCCTCCTCGACCTCCTCCTCTTCGACCTTATCCTCCTCCTCCTCCTCCTCCTCATCGTCATCATCATCGTCCTCCTTCGCCTCTGCCTCCGCTTCCGCTCCGTCCCCTCCTCCTCCTCCTCCTCCTCCTCCTCCTCCTCCTCCATTCCTTTTCCATATGCATGACCTCGGCCCGTCGCACCCCCAGGTTTTAAGGGCGGGCAGGGCGTTTCGCCTGAGACTTCCTCACCGCTTACGACCCTGAAGCTCAAAAAGTGAGATCAGTTTGACGGATTGAGGGCGGGCGGTGTTCGAAATATGGCTCTCGCCTTAACCCAGCGCCCATTCTTTCAATGGCTATATATATACATATATATATATATATATATATATATATATACACCTACGCGCTAGAGACATGCGCGCTTCAGTTCTAGTCGCGTCCGCGCCAGGTTTTAGCGCTCTCGATTTCGCTCGTGCGATCATCGACGACGACTACGACCACGACTACGACGACGACGACAAGGGCGGCGACGAGTGACGACGCAGGCGGCGACGACGACGACGACGACGATCGCGACGACGACGACCGCCACCGCCACGACGTGGCCCTGGGGCCCGGACAACTTCCATAGGCCTGAATCGCGCCCTAGATGTTCGACGGTCCCAGGGCCCGTCGAGGGCGCCAAGATGCCGGGAGTTGTTCCGAAACTTCGGGATCGGCCAGAATACCTCAGGGCGTCCGGGGAGAGGGCTCTTGGGAACACTCGGGGCCCCCTAACGGCCCCGCGGGGCCCGCGTGGGTTTTTTGTTAGGGAATTCTTTGAGGTTTCTCGGGGTCTCCGGGGCGCTTGTCGGGAAGGGTGGCTCAAACTTGTCGGGTTGGTGATTCCCTCTTTCTTATTCCTCCTCTTGCTTCGCGTCGCGCCTGACCCCGTCCCTGGAGGCACCCAGACAGCAACGCACGTGTCAATCCGAAATGACATGTCAAATTCTCCCTGAACCAGCGTTTGTGCTTTCAGAATTCACACTGCGTCGTAAACCTTTTTTTCCCAAGTGTCCTCTGAAAGAGCCGCCCCGACAGCCTCAGCAATGGCACGCAACACATGGACATGTAATCCCTCCAGCCCTCTGAGGTTCTAATCCCGCGTGGACATGTATCCCACATGGACAAATTGGTTTATGCTTTCTTCTGAAGCCTCTCCTTCCCCTGCTCGGGGGGGGGGTCTGCTCCTCCCCCTATTGCCCCCCATGGGGCCCTTTCACTGGCGCTCCAAAGCGATCCCAAAACTGGCTGGCCGCCCGGCGGGCCTCCTCCTTTTTCTCCTCCTCCTCCTCCTCCTCCTCCTCCTCCTCCCTAGTTCCTCCTCCTCCGCCTCCTCCTCATCCTCCTCGTCCCTCCTCCTCTCCTCCCTCCCCTCCCCCATCTCCCCCCCCCACCCTCCCAGGGGGGGTCGCCGCCGTTGGGCTCGTGAGCGTTGTCTGCTTCGGCGATTCGACATTGGGCTTAAGTCGGGCGCGGCTTTCTACAGGAGGGGAAACAAAGGGGGGGTCTGCGTGGCGCGACGGGTTGCCATAGTGCGCCCTGTGGGGGGGGGGCTCCACCCTCCACCTGCGCGAAGAAGGCGGCATGAACAGCCACGATGTGATTCGTGGGGAGGGGTGCAGGGACCCGCGCCGATCGGCAAAACGAAGAATGAGAAAACGACAGCCTCTGGCCACGCGCAAAGACTCAGACCCCCGAAGATTGGCGGTGGACAAACCTCCGTTTTCGTAAACCTCCCTTTAGTACAAACGGCCCAATGTCATCATCATCATCATCATCATCATCATCATCATCATCACCACCACCATCATCATCATCATCGTCATCATCATCATCACCGTCACCATCATCATCATCATCATCAACAACATCGTCATCATCAGCATCATCACCATCATCATCAGCATCGTCATCATGAGCATCCTCATTCTCGTCGTAATCATCATAATCAGCATCAGCATCAGCATCATCAGCAGCAGCAGTATCATTATCAGCATAATCATCAGAACGCCTCGATCGTCGAACCACGAAAAGCGACGGCTGCGACTGCGACGGCGACAGCGCGGGCGCAGACATCGACGACGACGACGACGCGGAAGACGACAGCGAGGGACGCTGACGACAACGATTGCAGGGGCGACTGCGGCGGTTACGACGTTGACGCCGACGACGAGCGCGACAGAAGCGTATCCTACGAGCCAGGGCCAGGGTAGCCATGGCCCGCCAGGTTAGCTCAGCGTCCACTATGGGAAGTGAGAAAAGATACCTCCCATGAGCCAGCGCCGGGGTAGCCGTAACCCCCCAGGATAGCTCGCGTCCAGGAGTGGCCCAGAAAGACTGACAAAACCAACTCGAGCCTCGATCGTCGATCCACGATAGA